TTAAAAGTTTGGTTCATTGTTTTCAATTATGTTCCCAGTTGTCCAAATCAAATCCAAGTCCTTCTCATGTTAAGTTCAAATCTTTTGTATGTCATTCAAGTTCAAGTCCCTCAAGTTCCTGTTGTTCATTTAATGTTCAAATCAAGTCCCAAATCATGTCCTTTGCATTCTCTCAACTCCCCTATTTTGTCCAATGTCCTTGTCACTTTTTAGAAAAAATTTTGGTAGCCTCCTGATGTCTCCCCCATTTAGGGGAAACTACAGGAAAATGGGCATTTCTATCACGCTAAGAAAAGCGTGTATGATAGATGTCCTCGAACACCATGGCTAAAATCTTCATCCCCCACCACACCAAGAAAGACATGTAAGGATCTTCTACAACACCTGTTCGAAAACACAATTGTTTTCCCACGCACATGCACTTATAAGTATCCCCACTTCGATATGGATGTCGCACCGGGTTCCCATCCCACCACGCTAAGAAAAACTGTATAGGCGGTTTTCAAGTGAGCCGCGAACGCAGAAAATTGGGCTTTTGATGGTTACCCACTTTGTCATAGGCGATGCACCGGCTTTCCATCCAATCACGCTAAGAAAAACGTGTATTGGCAATTTTTCGATGCGCCACGGTGAAGTATGTTCGTCAATCGAGCATAATTTGAGTGTCATCACCTCGGGATTCGTGCCACCGCCTCGATCAATCCTGATTAATAAAATAAAATGTATATTTTGAATGTCAACGATATTTCGGACGCAACTACAAAGTCCGTTTGTCAATCGAACATCATTTGGGCGACATCGAGTCTTAAATTCCTCAATTTGCATGTCATCGCCTTAGAATTTGTGTCACCATCTCAGACAATCCCAATTAATCAAATAAAATGTATATTTTGGTATTGATAACATTCCGGATGCAACGGCGAAGTCCATTCTGCGATCGGACATCGTTTGGGCGACGTCGAGTGTTAATTTCGGGTGTCAGTCGTCCCCTTGGACTGATCTCATCCGATTTGACTGTGAGGGACCTCGACCAAGAAGAATTGGATGTCTTGACGTAACGGCACAGTCCATTTGGCAATTAGAGGTCATTTGATCTTTCAAGTGATGTGCTTCGTCAAAGCGCGCTGTCAGATTCGTCAGTTTTGCTCCCCTTGCGCATGGCTCATCGTATAGGGATTAACACCCATGAAGAAACAGATTTAACAAATAGAGGACTAGAGCAATACCTCTGGTTTTTTACCATGCAATACATTTCAAAAATGGTATGCTCCTCTTCCATGGGCAGAATACTCATGTAATACCATATACCATACAGCCATTTGATAAACTCCATTACTAGCCCTCTAAGGCTGCTTGACACCCCCCTACACACCCTTAGACCCCCTATACACCCTTAAATAGAAAATCATTCCACGATTGTAATTGTTGACACTCTTGTAGAGGATAGAGATTTAGCCCCTCTGGCAATTGTGACAACACCTCCTTAACGCCCAAGCACACATTAAATGACAAGCCTATAAGCATAGAAGGGACGTTAAATACATAGTAGTGATAAAGTTCTTGCCAAATTATAACCATAGAGACAGCTATCAACATGCCTAGAGTCTTTTTTTTTAAATTGCCACGTCATTATTATGGACCTTTGACAAATTTGGAATGAACCAGCAACATTGCCTACAAACTGAACTTACCTCCAGAGTCTCGCATGCAGCCTATTTTTTACGTTGCCTATAACGTTGCTCTACAAATTGAACTTGCTTTTTTATTGTATATGTATATATTCATAAATATACATATAGTGTCGATGTGGGATGGTGGCAAGGTTGAGTTAAGGCAGGTGTCAGTGGTGACTTGGGTGATGACGACATTATATTTGGGATTAATTGTTGTGGTTGGATGAGTTGAGGGGAGGTTGGGATAGGTGAGCATGAGGAAGAGGAAGTTAGCCAGGCATTGTGAGATTATTAGCAGCTATTGCCTAGGTTACTAAACAAATGTGAAACACGATTTTTTTATGCACGAAAGATGACAGTAGCATTTCAAGATGCACGAAAAATGAGAAATTATGCTAGAATATGAACACATCCATCTTGATAAATTAATTGTTAATACTAGAATTCTTGTTGTTTTAATATTATTTTATTCTAGAAAAAATCAATATAAAAATTTCAAATAAAAAATCCCCATCTAAGCCACCAGGACTCGGACCATATACTTCTCAATCACCATAGGAGTCCCACCTTATTCATACTTCACATGTGGAACAAAAGCTAAAAGGAAAAAAAAACAAGACTCGCATAAAGCTTCCTGCTCACTGCCCCTATATCCTCTTGGGTTCACATGACAAGCGTTACTCCGACAACCGAACTTGCTCTCCCAATTTTTTCTGCCAATCTCGCATAAAGCTGCCTGCTAAACCCTTCATTGTCCCTTGATTTGATAATAGCCACCGTAAATAGCTGTTGCTAACCTCACAATGTCTGACTTGAGTGAAATTATGAGTACTACAGTTATCAATTAATATATGGACATAAAGATGGTTAATCAAGTCAGTTAATCGGAAAAAACAATAAGGTTAGAGGAGTTGAATTGCCCAGCTAAAGCAATAAGGCTGGTCTTAGATTGAGGAGCTGGATTTTCATCATTGATAGAGAGGGGAAAGAGTCATCAAGTAAATCGGAATTCCCGATACTTAGTAAAAGATAGAATTTATTTGGAAAATGATGTTGAGGTCCAAATTTTACATCACAATTGAAACAAAGACCTTTATCATTGTGAAATTGAGTGTTGAATGGTGACAGCTACCGGATTGGAAGATTTGGAGGCTTAGGGATATTAGGGTTTGGCATAGAAGAGGTAACTAAAGATTGGAGGAGTCGTGGTGGTGTAGAGGTTGAATTCGAACTAGTATGTGGATGATTAGGTATAGTATATTTAAGATTAGAAGGGAAAGATTTTCGCCAAGCGGATGATGGAATGGAAAGAAATATTGGATTTAGATTCATGACTCTAGCTAACTCCATAGAATCCAAGAGTGAAGTAGGTCTTGCAAGTAAAAATTGGCAATGTAATTCTTATTCAAGTATGGATATTAAATAACTACTTAGGGTGGATTTAAGAAAGTAGAAACTTAAAAAGTAACATTTTTAAAGGTAGTTTGGTATTCAAGAATAGAATATTATTTAGTTTTGAAAGATTGCCATGTAAATTTTCATACGTAGAAATACCAAATCATTGTTGTAAAGATAACATCAACTCAAACAAAGAAAGTAATTAACTTTTCATTCATAACCATTGGTACCAAGTAGCCACTAGACTTTTAAGGTGAAATGAAGGAATGCTAACATGATGGCATTCAGGTGTATTATAAAAATCAAAGTATTTGTGGTTAAAGATCCAAGTTTCAACGCCAAAGCCATTAAAGCGAGGAATTTTAATTTTCATTTATTTAAGAAAAAAATGTTCATATGGAAGGAATTCGGCCAGTGGAGCCAAAAAATGCCAACCAAGGAAAGAGGTTTTTGATAGGAAGAAGAGTGTGGGTAGTCGGCATACAAATTATCAGGATGCTTGTTGATGGAGTCCACGAAAGCATGGAATTGTTGTAGGGATTTGCCAACAGATGCAAATCAAACATCAACTTATTGGATAGATTTTTTAGATTTCAGAAAATTTCAATTCTTGATTGATTTGCATGGTAGGGAGAGCTTTTACCAAATCGACAGTTTTCATGATGATTGATGGTTGAGAGTAGTTGAAAATGGTGCAAGAAGTGGTTCTTGATAACATGAACAAGTAACTGTAACAAAGAAAAAGAAACTAGTAGAATAATATATTGATAAAACAATTTAAAAAGCAAGGGAATGGAGAACCTGATGAAGTCTTGGAAGAACAAAACGTAGTTTGCAATAATGGGAATGTTTGTGGATAGAAAACAGCTTCTTGATGCTGAGTTGAAGTGAAAATGGAGGCCTTAGATGTTGGTCTGGTGGAGAAAACAAGGGGACCGATTATGTTGTAAGTGTTCGGTGGAAGAGCAGAAAAATGATAGCTGGTTTTTGAGGTTGAAGCAGTTGGCAGTTGGTTCTTGAAAAGTAGGTGGAGGCTAAATAGCAGATGGCAGGGCCTTGAGAAGAAGGAAAATGGCGCCTAGAAATTAGATAGCGCTGAAGACTTTCTGTCAAGAGATTAAGGCAGAATGGCTATTGGTGGCGGTGAAGAAAGTTAGCTGGCAGATGAATTGTATGGTGTTTGTGGTAGAGAACATTGTGTGGAAGAACAAAGAAGTTTCCGACAAGAAATTTGGTTTCTGGAGACATGAGTTTAGCGCAATGAGAGTACCATTGATAAGCTTATTGGCATCCAAGAAAGAAAATAACTTTTAAATTAGTATGTAGACCAAGCTATTAATCAAAGATAATTGCAATCAATATGTCGGCAAAAAATTTCCATCTAGATGGAGAGTATCTTAACTTCTAAGGAAAGGAGATAACAAAAGGCATGAATCACATGAGGCCTTCAACAGAGCCTTGGCATTTTTACACACAACATTTAACCAAACATACAAGCTAGAATAATTGACAATATGCACACAACATTTAACCAAACATACAAGTTAGAATAATTGACAATATGCACACAACATTTAACCAAACATACAAGCTAGAATAATTAACAATATGAGTTGATAATTAGATAATTATGCGATTTAAAAAACACTATTTCATATAAGAGCTAACCAAACAGCCGATTGATCATACAAATATGTCAGTTCTTCCATTTTTTTTGTTAAAGCTTCCTGCACCAATTGCACGGAATTAGAGACGCTTGTAGGTTCGGAGAATTGGAAGCCCAACAACTTCGACTTCGGGATGTCTATAAACAGCATTGCTAGTTCAATTCAATAACTTTGTCATTAGCTTATCCAACTCGATTTTGAACACATTAGCAATTTCTACTTGCTTATTTCACAAAAATGTGGAAACGAAGAAGGGAAAAACCTCGAACAGAACCCTCGTTCAGCAAGGAGAAGCACACTGTTAACGCAATTCCTCCGGACAACAATCTCCTCCTCAAAATTCCAGTTTTGCTTCCTTCCAAACAAAAACTTTCAAGTTAAAAAAATAAATAAATAGAAATTTGAGAAAGAAAAGCTGCAAAAGGTGAAACAATTTGGATGTTGAAGGCTGACCATGCGAATAAAATTGCTTAGACAGCAGGCGCTTCTGTTCCCGGCAGAAAGGCCTAGTTCTGATGCAGGACGAAGGGGAAAAGGAAAAAGACATTGAAACCTTAGACAGCCATAACCCTTTAATCCTTACAACAACCGAGGTCGGACTCGGGAGCCAGCAACCATAGTGCATTTGAGCTCTGTTTCCGTTTCCCACTTGCATGGTGTGCATGTGGCGCTCGTTGCTGCGGTCCGTCGCCAAACGTGGCTCAGAGGCAGCCAAGTGCGTCTCTCTATTTGAGCAGTACGTATTAATAATTTTATTGTCACATTTCTCTTTTGAATCACGATTTAAAAATCGGAGCACGCAGTCAGTCCGCTATGGTGAGCCGGTTGGGGTCAGTTCAATCACTAAATAATTGGTTCTGCATCAAATGAACCGTTGAACTCTTTCAAATTTTGTGAAACCATTCTATTTAAAATTTAACCAAATAAACATTAATCAATGACGTAAGAGCTCAGAGGTTAGGTCATGCCCAGCCACCCACTATTGTCGGGTCTTCGCATGGTGCATGCTATCCTCGAAGCTCTAACAGGTCGCCGATCACCACCAGATATCCATCCGATCACCGACCGCCTTCAGACCTCCGTCATGCCAGCTACAGTCACAAGACCTTCGACCGGCCGCTAACCGTCGTCGAACCTCCACCCATCTACCACCATCATCTGACCTCCGCCAGACTTTTTCCCAACCGCTGCCACCAAACTTCTAACCTCTATTGCCTACTAACCTTAATCCTCGAACAATTGTCTCCTGACTACGGTCTTTCTAACCCCCGACGCTCTACCATGATTATTTTATTTTAACTCCCAATCATTTTGAACTTCAACTTATTGTTGAATCAAGTGGCTCGACGAGACAAATCCAATGAGCCCAAGATCACTTGATTATAGCATTATTTATGCAAATCAAGACTAGTAGAATGATCTATAATCGAGAGGATCGATATGAGCCATCTATTATGATGTTTCATTGAATCATGATTAAGGACTTATTATTCAATCTTTTGTTGTTCCTACTATTGCATGTGAAAAGAAAATGGTGTATACTTTGAATAGTATTGAAGTTCCTAACATTGCTATTGTTGAAACTACCCCTTCTTGCACTTTTAATCAAAATGTTTATGACTCTAGTGGTACTATGCTTATCTCTACTTCTACTAATCCTTTAAATGATCAAGAAGTTTTGGCTATTCAAATGCCTTGAAAAGAGGGTGAGAGGAAATATATCCCTTTAGAGGAACGTGAATTTGTTTCTATGGAAAATGGCTTATCTATCTCTAAATACATTGATGAACTTATTGGGAGGAACCGTGAGACTATAGAGGATGATGGTATGTTTATGAAGGATGAATGTCCTCAATAGACTTCTCTAAGGGAACACGGAAGTGGTAGTAAGACCATATCAACTTCTTATTATAATAGTGATGCTTTGATTGATACAAAGGATATGCATATTGATGCTAAATGTTTTTCCAGAGATGATAATGATTTTAGTTTTAGTAAAGTTTATAGTAAAAGAGGAAGGAAGCCTAAGCATATTTATTTAAAACCTCCTAAAAACACTCGATCACATACTTCCCAATAAGTTTTTTTTCTTTATGTTTAATGCTAGTATTTGAAATGTGAGGGTCATTGGTTGTCCTTCTTCTAAAATTCATGTTAAGAACTTATGTCGTGTGCATAACCTTTCTATTCTTGGGTTTCTTGAGCCTCTTATTTTATCTTCTAGGTTGTTAAACACTTCTCGTTTTTTGGGTTTTAATCATGTTATTTCTAATGTGGCTAACATGATTTGGGTTTTCTAGAAAGACTCGGTTAAAATTGATGTTATTTGTGATTTTACTTAGGTCTTGCATTATAAAGTTGAGGCTCTTAATTTTAATTATTGTTCTTCTTTTCAGTATGCTTCTTCCTCTCCTTATAATAGAAAATTGCTTTGGGAGCAACTTATTGATTTTCATAATATTTGCAATTTGTCATGGTTTGTTGGTGGTGATTTTAATGCTATCACTAACCCTTCTGAAAGGATTGGAGGTTCCTCTCCTTTTTATTGTTCTATGGAAGATTTCAATAATATGATTTTAAATTCAAATTTAATTGATATTGGTTTTGTTGGTAATAACTTTACTTGGAATAGGGGTCACTTATGAAAAAGGCTATATCGTTTGCTCTTTAATGATTCTTGGCTTAACTCCCTTTTTTACACCAATGAGCAGCATCTAAGTAGAAATTTGTCGGATCTCTCCCATTTACATATTAGCCTTAAGTTTAGACTTGTTAAAGTTTCTTCCCAATTTAGATTCCAGAACATGTGGTTAAGTCATGACTCTTTTTTTTATGTTGTTCAGAATAATTGGCAAGCTCCGTTACATTCTGATAATTCTATTTTTGGCATGAGGAGACTTTGGTTTAAGCTGAAAAGGTTCAAACAAGTTTTAAATTGGTGGATTCTACATGTCTTTAAAAATCATTTCTCTAATATTCTGCAAGCTGAGCAACTTGTTAATTCTCTTGAGTTAGCTTGTAAATATGATCCTATTGATAATAATTTCTCTCTTTTAAAGAAGTCTAAAGAGGAGCTTTTTAATTTTCAAGCTCAGGAAGAGATTTTTTTGAGGCAAAAGCTGCTGCTAAACTTTTGCTTGAAGGTGATAACAACACTAAATATTTCCATGCTTTGGTTAAGAGAAAAAGGGTTAAAAAGAGTGTCAATAAAATCAAAAGGGAGGATGGTTCTTTCACTAATAATTCTGTGGAGATTGCTAATTTAGATGTGCTATATTTTAAAACCCATTTTAATAAAGTTTTTACTCCAGTTCAGATTATTGATCATTCTTTGACTCCTTCCCTTATTTCTCATGAGGTGAATATCATTCTAGAGAGAGAACCTCTGGGTTTTTTTAGAGAGAGAAAATGAAAGTTTTTTAAAATTCGGTTGAGATTTTTTTCTTGGGCTACTGGATGGCAGCAGAAGATCGCTGGACCAACTCGATTGGTGGTCTAGGAGATGTTCGACGGCAATCATCTGGCAATGCTTCCATTTCAATACGATCGCTTCCAGCATTTGGTGATGTTTTGATAGCTGGTGGATTAAATATTTCAGCACATGAATCAAGGTTGAAGATGAAGAATAACAAAGCTCTGGTGATAAATGAAGGTGTCCTTGCTTCTTCTAAGAAGATAACTCCTAAGATCAAAAATGGGAAAGAAATTATTGATGGCAGTTTAAAATTTGATAAACATTTGCTTGGAGCTATGGATGTTAATCAGTTTAATGAATCAGGACATTCATTCGTTGGCTTGAAGGAGGTAAATAATTCTATTACTCTGCATGAAGGGAGAGTTGTGACTCAAATAAAGAATGTTGAATCTCTAGGTGATAATGAAGAGGAATATAAGAATTCGGTTGAAAATAATCGTAGTGGCATTGATTCCATTATGAGTGTGAAGAAGGTTCTGCTGATTGTTCCTGCAACTAATGTAGCAGAAGACTTAAGCTCTGTTGGGATTTATGAATTGGGAGAATAAAATCAAGACAAAATGTATGATGAGTTGATTGTGAAGACTAATTAACCTTCTAGAAATAATGCTTGGAAGAAGAAAGAAAACATCAGGGTATCCAATTTGGGTTATGGGTATTGCCTATCGAAGGATGGCTCTACACTGAAACTTCATTTACAAAAGGCGGAAGAGAATGCTAAGAAACTCAAAAATGCCTTAGTCATTAAAGTATTTAGTGATAATGTACCTCTCTATGATATCAGTGGAGAACTAAGAAGACAGCAGGATCAATATGGCAAGTTCCATCTGATGGTGCTTGGAAACGGATGGACATTATGTGCTTTTGATGAAGAACAAGCTTTGGATTCAGTCCTTAATAGTGGTATGTGGTATGTTAAAGGGCATATTATTGGTATAGACAAATGGTCACCGATGTTTTCCCCTTCAACTTTGAAAGGATTATCAGCTCCAGTATGGATAAGAATGCCAAATCTCCCTCTCCATTGTTGGGATGGGATCAATGTACGCAGGATTGCTTTGAAAATTAGTATTCCATACTTAATTGATGGTAATATGTTCCAGTGGAGTAGACGTGAGTTTGCTCAAATTTGTGTTTGTATTAAACTTGAAGATAAGCACCCTCTTGGTGTTTGGGTAGAAGGTCTTGCAGGGAAGTTTTTTTAGAAAATTGAGTAGGAAAGAATGACCTCCTTATGTTATAACTGTGGTAGAGTTGGTCATGAGAAGAACAATTGTCCAGAACTCAAATCATCTGCTGCTAAAGGTGACTATGTGAAGCCATTGAAATAAGTGGTAGAGGATATTCCTAATTTGAATCCTAAAACAACTATTGATTGCAAGGAGAAGGAGGGTGGTTATGATGGTATTGCAAACTATGGTCCTTGGATCCATGTTAACTATGGAAGATCAAGAAAATACAAAAATAATGGCAAATGGAAACCAGTGGTGCGAGACTTAAATGTCATGAAGAAAACAATTTCTTCAAAATACTCTGATGTTATGAATAATTCAAAACTGGCTGCAGTGGAGATGAAGGATCAAAGGGGCTTGGTTGATCAAACTATGGAAGAGCAACATACAGTAGTTGTTGGTGTTGTGGAAGTCATTATTTCTCCTTCGAAGGTGGTTGCTGATGTCTCTAGCATCAGATGAGAGAAGCCTCATATTATGAATTTGGAGTCTGGTATGGTTTCCAAAAATATTTTTTTTCCTTCTAACTTAAACAAGTTTGATGTGTTAAGTGGGTTGGTAGAAGAGGGGGAAATCATAGAAAAAGAAGACACATAAATTTCTCTTTTGAAAGAAAAAGGAGGACTTGTTGAATCACCAGTTTGTTTACATGGTGTTATTTTAGAACCGGATAAGAAGGATGCAGTGCTTCCTCTGTTAAGAAGAAACTTATAAAGAAAATTAGAAGCTTGGGGCCAATAAGATCTTCTCTTAGAATTAGAAAGCCTGATGAGAAGTTGAAAGACAAGCCAGGGACTTCCTCCCCTTTCAATATTTAATGGCTTCGATAGTATTCTGGAATTATAGAGGAGATAAGAAGAAGCAAGCTTCTCTATATCTGAAGGAGGTTGTGAAGGAGCTTGGAATTCTTTTTGCAGGTTTATTAGAAACGAAGTTAGCTTCTATAAGTAGAAGGGAAGTGGATGCATTAGTAGGTGTGGATTGGAACATTTATCACGTTCCATCTAATGGCTTGTCTGTG